GGTATAAATAATATCAGCGCACTTGTGAAATAATATTAGACTCGCCAGTTGACGTGTATTGGACGCCTGGCATGATTTGTTTACTTTTGAACTTTGGTAAAAATCGAATGCTTCTGCTACTTTGCACTCAATTTCAAGGTACTTTTCATTGTAAAACCAGTCAAAATCATCTCAATTTCTGTAATATGTCTTCCATTCTATAAAATGAGACCAAGAAAACTAGAATACAACAATAAATACCATACAAAAATACAGTGCAAATTCGCTGTTTTATTCCAAAAACACGGTCAAAGTTTTTTTTTCTCATTACGCACTGTGTGGTGCAGGATTTTTTTTATGCTGTGCACACTGACCACATAGACCCATTCTTTCATATGTAGGCCTACCAGCTTTCTCTCACTAGATTTGAGGGCGCTAGAATTTAGGCATACTAGTATATCAAAAACCCTGGGTCCTAAGCCGTACTAGTACGGCCGAAACCCTCAAAGGGTTAATTCTATCTAGGAGCTTTCTTTGGGCCCATGGTGGCTTGTTTAGCAGTTGCAAGCACTAAAACAAATGGAATATTACGAAATGTATCAAATGAACGCGTGGGATTGTGCTCACTCGCTGATAAACAATGGCACACTGACAGTGAATGGTGTGTGAGGCCGCTCATACGTGTTTGGGATGAACAACTATTTGCGAGTCAAACAATGATTCGAGAGTCAATATTCTGATGAAAAAAGTTACGATTTGCGAAAATTACGAATTCCGATGATTACAAAAAAAGAGGGTCCACTGTACAGCATAGTACTCCCTCTCTACCGGGTGAGGCGTTTTGAGACTTACTGCCAGTAATTTCTTTTAGTTATAATTTCTTATCAAATACAATTATAGATAATTCATAATGTTGTAATGAATGCTTATAAGGTTACAAGTAAGCAAACACATACAAGTCAGTGAGAAAAACATTGCATATTATGTAAACACTGTTAACTTGACTTGATTCCTCAATACTTTTGACCATATGTTGCTGTCACACTCCAACTTTTCACTTGTAAATGCAGTGTTTTGGTGGGAGATGGCCAGAGTGTTAAAAAAAAAAAATCAATCTACCACACATTTAAATTGTCTGCCCAACTATAATTTATGACCAAGGCCAGTAATGATGTGCAATGGTGAAGGGATAAAGGACTACTTCTGGATCACTTCCCCCATCTCCTCAAGTAATTTTCACTTGTAATTTTTTCCTTGCATTTACTGATCAAAGGCAGTAATAAATACAATTCATTATGTAGATATCTCCTAATGAAGGCATGACACGTAAGAGATCAAAGAGGCAGTGTGGGTGGGAGGTATTGGATAGGCAATATTGTCCAGTGTGAATATACTGCTGCTGCTATGGCTACTGATTTTGGTCGCAGCAAAAATGACAAACTTAACAATTTCACTTTCCAACACTCTATTTACGAGTTTATTACTCTTTGTGAATAAAATGATAATGTCACATGAACTGACTGTACAACTTGTACTCATAATGATAATGTCATTTAGTCAGGAGGATGGGAAGAGAGCATCGTGCAGTACAATCACACACCATTACTCTCAGTGTCTACAAAACTAACACTGCCTCCATATTCATTATTTTTATCTCAGTTTTCAGGTCATCAAACTTGTTTATCACTGGTCTATGATTGTTTGGTGTAGGTGTGGTGGGTTCTTATTTGTTTAAAGCAAACTGGTCAAGAAATTTGCTTTTTTATATATTATGATTTTTAATTGAATATATTACAATAACACTTGTTTTCTAGCAGTTAGTCATTTTGGATCTATATATTAATAAAGAGAGAAGTTAAGAGAGTGGTGAAGCAATGTAAAAAGAGAGCAAATGAGAGAGTGGGTGAGATGTTATCAACAAATTTTGTTGAAAATAAGAAAAAGTTTTGGAGTGAGATTAACAAGTTAAGAAAGCCTAGAGAACAAATGGATTTGTCAGTTAAAAATAGGAAAGGAGAGTTATTAAATGGAGAGTTAGAGGTATTGGGAAGATGGAGGGAATATTTTGAGGAATTGTTAAATGTTGACGAAGATAGAGAAGCTGTGATTTCGTGTATAGGGCAAGGAGGAACAACATCTTGTAGGAGTGAGGAAGAGCCAGTTGTGAGTGTGGGGGAAGTTCGTGAGGCAGTAGGTAAAATGAAAGGGGGTAAGGCAGCCGGGATTGATGGGATAAAGATAGAAATGTTAAAAGCAGGTGGGGATATAGTTTTGGAGTGGTTGGTGCAATTATTTAATAAATGTATGGAAGAGGGTAAGGTACCTAGGATTGGCAGAGAGCATGCATAGTTCCTTTGTATAAAGGCAAAGGGGATAAAAGAGAGTGCAAAAATTATAGGGGGAGAAGTCTGTTGAGTATACCTGGCAAAGTGTATGGTAGAGTTATTATTGAAAGAATTAAGAGTAAGACGGAGAATAGGATAGCAGATGAACAAGGAGGCTTTAGGAAAGGTAGGGGGTGTGTGGACCAGGTGTTTGCAGTGAAACATATAAGTGAACAGTATTTAGATAAGGTTAAAGAGGTCTTTGTGGCATTTATGGATTTGGAAAAGGCGTATGACAGGGTGGATAGGGGGGCAATGTGGCAGATGTTGCAGGTGTATGGTGTAGGAGGTAGGTTACTGAAAGCAGTGAAGAGTTTTTACGAGGATAGTGAGGCTCAAGTTAGAGTATGTAGGAAAGAGGGAAATTATTTCCCAGTAAAAGTAGGCCTTAGACAAGGATGTGTGATGTCACCGTGGTTGTTTAATATATTTATAGATGGGGTTGTAAGAGAAGTAAATGCGAGGGTCTAGACAAGAGGCGTGGAGTTAAAAGATAAAGAATCACACATAAAGTGGGAGTTGTCACAGTTGCTCTTTGCTGATGACACTGTGCTCTTGGGAGATTCTGAAGAGAAGTTGCAGAGATTGGTGGATGAATTTGGTAGGGTGTGCAAAAGAAGAAATTTGAAAGTGAATACAGGAAAGAGTAAGGTTATGAGGATAACAAAAAGATTAGGTGATGAAAGTTTGGATATCAGATTGGAGGGAGAGAGTATGGAGGAGGTGAATGTATTCAGATATTTGGGAGTGGACGTGTCAGCGGATGGGTCTATGAAAGATGAGGTGAATCAGAGAATTGATAAGGGGAAAAGGGTGAGTGGTGCACTTAGGAGTCTGTGGAGACAAAGAACTTTGTCCTTGGAGGCAAAGAGGGGAATGTATGAGAGTATAGTTTTACCAACGCTCTTATATGGGTGTGAAGCATGGGTGATGAATGTTGCAGCGAGGAGAAGGCTGGAGGCAGTGGCGATGTCATGTCTGAGAGCAATGTGTGGTGTGAATATAATGCAGAGAATTCGTAGTTTGGAAGTTAGGAGGAGGTGCGGGATTACCAAAACTGTTGTCCAGAGGCTGAGGAAGGGTTGTTGAGGTGGTTCGGACATGTGGAGAGAATGGAGCGAAACAGAATAACTTCAAGAGTGTATCAGTCTGTAGTGGAAGGAAGGTGGGGTAGGGGTCAGCCTAGGAAAGGTTGGAGGGAGGGGGTTTAAAGGAGGTTTTGTGTGCGAGGGCTTGGACTTCCAGCAGGCATGCGTGAGCGTGTTTGATAGGAGTGAATGGAGACAAATGGTTTTTAATACTTGACGTGCTGTTGGAGTGTGAGCAAAGTAACATTTATGAAGGGGTTCAGGAAACCGGCAGGCCGGACTTGAGTCCTGGAGAAGGGAAGTACAGTGCCTGCACTCTGAAGGAGGGGTGTTAATGTTGCAGTTTAAAAACTGTAGTGTAAAGCACCCTTCTGGCAAGACAGTGATGGAGTGAATGATGGTGAAAGTTTTTCTTTTTCGGGCCACCCTGCCTTGGTGGGAATTGGCCAGTGTGACAATAATAATAATAATATTAATACATAGTATGAAAATACTCAGTGATGCACTCTAAAGTGGTAGCAAGTGTATACACATCCCTTTAGTTGGTGATCATTAACTGGCCTGGGAGAAAGTAATTTTTTTTAAAGACTTTTATAATAAATTAAATATATTAGCAGTATGTTGCTACCCTATTCTATATGAGAATTACACAGTGGGAACAAAAGAGGAGAAGCCCTGAGGTTTCTTGTTTGTTCATTATTATAATCAAAGAGAAGCACTAAACCTCTTGTATGTTCAACAAAATTATATGCCCTGAGAATATTTGGGATATCAAAACAATAATGTTTGTTTTTCAAAAACTGGCTCTAGCAAAATAATAGACCTATACAGTAATTTTTATTTACACAATCCATTATATTATCAGATACAGTACTAGCAAACATGAAGAGTATGTTTGCTAGTACTGTACCATATTTGCTAGTACTGTTAACAAACATGCAGAGCATGTTTGCTATCTGCTAAACTTATGACATCTTGTAGCCAAACATAAGCAATAATTAGCAATAAAAAAGTCATCAAGAGCAGTACTACCAAATTAAAATAAGAATCTGACATAACATTATGACCCTACACCTGCATCTCAATCTGAAGATATTCACAAACTATGTCCGGAAATTAAGCAGCGGAACTTTTTGTTTTAAAGAACACAAAAGCTTAAGGCTACCCCATGATGGGATACATATAAAGGCAATCATAGTTACTGTTATGTACATCAATCTGTCACAGGTGAATATAGGTCCAGCCACTATATGTCAAAAGTCAGTAAAATAGATGAACCATCTTACTGAGGCCAGAATTCTAAAATACTTGAATATGGATATAATATCTTTATTTAAATGATATACAACTCTTACAAGAGTTAAACACGTGTTTTACTGTTGAAATGGTGGGGAAATAATTGAGAATGAGGCCTCATAAGTATTCACCTCTCTTTCAGATGCTCTCAGAATTCAGGCCCAAGTGTTCATATGACTAGTGAGTGTGAGAAAAGGGAAAGTAATTCAGACAGTGAGGGTTCATCCACTCACTCCTGGCACTTCACTCATACCTTCATATTGTTGTGCTGTTCACACCACAGGGGAAAAAAAAGAATAGTAATTTACTCTAGAGTGAAAATAAAAGATCCTACATACAGTATATTGTTCATACTTCAGACTATCTGAAAAAATGGGTAAAGCAAGCAATGTCTGTGAGTCATTGTACTTGAAACTGTGATATAAAAAAGTGGATATTTATAAGGTCAAACAAATTACTACAGTATATGCAAATTAGATATTTGTCATTCTCATTAAAAACAATAACAGTGATTATTATTTGGACAAAATGCTTCAGGTTTTTACTCATCATCTGAATTACAAAAAATTCAAGAGACTGTACTGTAAAAGAAACTGGAAATTTCTGTCTTGTTCAGAAACAATTTTTTTAATTAAAACTGATTCTTAGAGATAATTCTAAATTCAAAATGATACTTTCCAGACTTTTTTCTTTAAATGCAAATGAAAAATTTCCCACATTAATGAGAGCATTACTGTACATTTTAGATAAACCATTAATAACAAAATAATAGAAGTAGTAACTGTACATAAACTGATTCATATTTTTGAAGTATGTGCGCAATGCTGCCACTCACAGATATTGATCTCTTTACCTCCTAACTTAGTGTTAAATGTAATCTCATCTACTCATGATAAACTAAATTACACAATGGTTTTCTTTAACTTTAAGGAATCTATGTACTCTACTGTACTCTAATTATTTATCACAGTAATAATAATATTTACATAAAAGACAAGAATTCAGTAATTTTTTATATATAGTGGTTCTAGGGTCTAATGAAAGCCTTGTCTTTATAATTATTGCCAACTAATTACCCTCTTAGATCAAGAAAGCAGACAAATTCTTAAGGGGAGCTGTTAATACTCAAGACAACCAACACAATGTTCCATCACTTACCAACTGCAATCTCTGTCAAACAAAAAAATATATTATTTATTGTTAGGCATGCAAACATTTAAAACAATAAACTTTGTAATGTTTATAACACAAAATTCCTCCTACCTTGACACTGGTAAACACACAGCAAACTAGTTTTCTATAAAAGAGTAAATGACCATCTCTAAACTTGTGCACAAAAACGACAATTTAACATTTTAAATGTCTCTTTCCAGCCTCCCCCTTACCTGGGCCAAATGAATTACACACAACCCAATATTTTTCTGTGACAATATTCCTTATTTAACAAAAATATACAGCAATGAAATATCAATTACATAGTCTGCTTTTTTTCAATACCTGCCATACCATTTCCCACTTACACCCTATCAAATGCTTTTTCTTACCCTTACTTATTTTTTCTTAGCACACCAGCCATCTCCCACTAAAATACTGACATACAAAAAAGGAAATGCATTCTCCATAATTCATTTAATAGCTGTCTTACCATAAGTGTGCAGACATCACAATTCAAATGACTCTACAAGCTGCAGTATCACCCCCTTCCATCAGAGTGCAGCACTGTACTTCCCACATGCATTAATATAAACAATTGGTCAACACATCTCTGTTCCTTCCTGAATCCTCCTTGTTCCTCTCCAATCCAACTTCCATCTTACCCTATTTTTTTCAATAATAATTCTACCATACCCATTACCTGGTATACTCAGGAGGCTAATAAATCTCCTTTATATTTCTTACAGTCTCTTTTGTCCCATATGTTCTTATACAAGGTAACTATGCATACTGTCTCAGGTGCTTTCCCTTCTTTCATACATATTCTGACAAATATACCAACCACTCCTATACAATATTGCTAACTGCTTTTATCATCCCTGTCTTAATTCCATCTGTCTCAGTTTCTTTACCTGCTCTCATTCTACCCAATGTTTCATGTATTTTCTCCATATCCACCTCAGAATCCTCATCACTCCTTTACAATATTATCCTCCCTGTCCAAATGATGAAATCACCCACTCTCCCTTCATTACTGATATTCAACAACTCATTAAAATATCCTCTCCATCTCTTTGGTACCTCCACCTCCCCATCTAACATCTCCACAGTTAGAAATTGCTGATAAAAGAAACCACGGTATGGATGGGGACTGAACTCATGGCTAGCCGCAAGTTCAATCCCCACCAGTACTGTAGTTTGTTTGCAATCGTGTCATTACGATTTTCAGATTTCTGATAAAACACTCAACCTGTCTCTATTGGATCTACAGTGGACCCCCAAGTTTCGTGATTAACCCTTTGACTGTTTTGGTTGTATATATATGTCTTCGAGCCAATGTGTTTGACATATACTCAAATTCTAGCGGCTTCAAATCAAGCAGGAGAAGGCTGGTAGGCCCACATGTGAGAGAATGAGTCTGTGTGGTCAGTGTGCACAATATAAAAAAATTCTGCAGCAGGCAGTGCATAATAAGAAAAAAAAACTCCAACCATGTTTTTGGATTAAAATGCCTACTTTGCGGTGTATTTTCGTATAGTATTTATGGTTGTGTTCTTGTTTTCTTGGTGTGTGTGTTAGTGTGTGTGTGTGTACTCACCTAGTTGAGGTTGCGGGGGTTGAGTCCGAGCTCCTGGCCCCGCCTCTTCACTGATCGCTACTAGGTCACTCTCCCTGAACTGTGAGCTTCATCATACCTCTGCTTAAAGCTATGTATGGATCCTGCCTCCACTACATTGCTTCCCAAACTATTCCACTTACTGACTACTCTGTGGCTGAAGAAATACTTCCTAACATCCCTGTGATTCATCTGTGTCTTCAACTTCCAACTGTGTCCCCTTGTTACTGTGTCCAATCTCTGGAACATCCTGTCTTTGTCCACCTTGTCAACACACTGTGTGTGTGTGTGAGTTTGTGTGTGAGAGTTAGTGTGTGTGTGTTAGTGTGTGTACTTACCTATTTGTGGTTGCATGGGTCAAGTCATAGCTCCTGGCCCCGCCTCTTCGCTGATTGCTACTAGGTCCTCTCTCTCCCTGCCCCATGAGCTTTATCATACCTCGCCTTAAAACTGTGTATGGTTCCCGCCTCCACTACGTCGCTTTCTAGGCTATTCCACGGCCTGACTACTCTATGACTGAAGAAATACTTCCTAACTTCCCTTTGATTCATCTGAGCCTTCAACTTCCAGTTGTGACCTATTGTGTCGGTGTCCTTTCTCTGGAACATCCCGTCTTTGTCCACCTTGTCTATTCCGCACAGTATTTTATATGTCGTTATCATGTCTCCCCTGACCCTCCTGTCCTCCAGTGTCGTCAGACCGATTTCCCTCAACCTTTCTTCATAGGACAATCCCCGTAGCTCTGGGACTAGTCTTGTTGCAAACTTTTGCACTTTCTCTAATTTCTTGACATGCTTGACTAGGTGTGGATTCCAAACTGGTGCTGCATACTCCAGTATGGGCCTGACGTAAATGGTATACAGTCTTGAACGAATTCTTACTGAGGTATCGGAACGCTATCCGTAGGTTTGCCAGGCGCCCGTATGCTGCAGCAGTTATCTGATTGATGTGCGCCTCAGGAGATATGCTCGGTGTTATACTCACCCTCAGAACTTCTTCCTTGAGTGAAGTTTGCAGTCTTTGGCCATCTAAACTATATTGTGTCTGCGGTCTTCTTTGCCTTTCCCCAATCTTCATGACTTTGCATTTGGCAGGGTTAAACTCAAGGAGCCAGTTGCTGGACCAGGCTTGTAGCCTATCCAGGTCTCTTTTAGTCCTGCATGATCCTCATCCGATTTGTTTCTTCTCATTAACTTCACATCGTCTGCAAACAAGGACACTTCTGAGTCTATCCCTTCCGTTACGTCATTCACATATACCAAGAACAGCACAGGTCCTAGGACTGACCCCTATGGAACCCCGCTTGTCACAGGCGCCCACTCTGACACCTCGTCATGTACCATGACTCGTTCTTGCCTCCCTGTCAGGTATTTTCTGATCCATTGCGGTACCTTTCCTGTTATGTGTGCCTGATCCTCTAGCTTTTGCAGTAACCTCTTGTAAGGCACTGTGTCAAAGGCCTTCTTGCAGTCCAAGAAAATGCAGTCTATCCACACCTCTCTCTCTTGTCTTACTTCTGTCACCTTGTCATAAAACTCCAGTAGGTTTGTGACACAAGATTTTCTTTCCCTGAAACCGTGCTGGTTGTTGATTATACACTTGTTTCTTTCCAGGTGCTCCACCACTCTAATCCTGATGATCTTCTCCATGACTTTGCATACTATACACATTAATGACACAGGTCTGTAGTTTAATGCCTCATGTCTGTCTCCTTTTTTAAAAACTGGGACTACATCTGCCATACCTCAGGGAGTTGCCCAGTTTTAATGGATGTGTTGAAGATCTTTGTTAGTGGCACACACAGCATCTCTGCTCCCTCTCTAAGGACCCACGGAGAGATGTTGTCTGGTCCCACCGCCTTTGAGGTGTCAAGTTCACATAGCAGCTTCATCACCTCCTCTTTGGTTATGTGTACCTCATCCAGCACTTGTTGGTGTACCTCCCTGTTCTGATTTCCTGGAGTCCTTCCGGTTTCCACTGCTGATCAAACAGGCTGTTACTGCTGGCTGCACGCAAACCAACGTACGAGCCACAGCCCGGGTGGTCAGTAGTCAGGTACCGACTTTAGGTACCTTAGGAGGGAGGGGGGGAGAGAGGGAAGAGAGAAAGAGAAAGAAAGAGAGAGAGAGAGAGAGAGAGAGAGAGAGAGAGAGAGAGAGAGAGAGAGAGAGAGAGAGAGAGAGAGAGAGAGAGAGAGAGAGAGAGAGAGACAGAGAGACAGAGAGACAGAGAGAGAGACAGAGAGACAGAGAGAGAGACAGAGAGAGAGACAGAGAGAGAGACAGAGAGAGAGACAGAGAGAGAGACAGAGAGAGAGACAGAGAGACAGAGAGAGAGACAGAGAGACAGAGAGAGAGACAGAGAGAGAGACAGAGAGAGAGACAGAGAGAGAGAGAGAGAGAGAGAGAGAGAGAGAGAGAGAGACTCCCTTCTGCTACAACACAACTGTCAACATATTATAATTGTTGGTGACCTCAACCAGCACCTTATACAGAGGG